AAGAGACATAGACTATGATTAAAGTATCGATTTTCATTAAAAGATAGCAATATGTTAAATATTTATTGGCAAATTTCACTCGAAATAAATAGATCCAAGGGCTATCCTACAGTTGTGAAATATAAATACATACTGTCTCAGGTTTTTATGCTGAACACAATTCTAATTTTGAGATTATCTGTTTTCAATGGAATTTGTCAACAAATACTTGACATACTGCTATCTTTCAATGAAAGTCGATACTTTAATCATAATCTGTGCCTCTTAGTACTGCCTTCCTTCATCTATATGTCAAATTTCATTTGTAATTTTTGCTGCTCGCGCAAAGAGCTATCTTTACTAACAAAAATGATTATGTCTGCTCTTATTTATGTCAAGATATTGGCAATATATCGCAGTGATAAAGTACTATATTCTTGTATAAGACTTTCAAGGAGATCTATTTTCGATGGCATAGAAGATCTTATTTTGTTTCGGTCTTCGAAACAAAGCTGATCACGATAATATTTTTCCAGAGTTACATTCTGTAGACCAAGTTCCATCATGAAAAAAATCTCAGTTCGACGGGTTTTATCAGACTATGCATGAAATATGACGTAAGAACATTAAAAATACGATGGATCATTTTGTGAACAAATATGCGCTTGTTCTTTATATTTTTTTAATACTTGAATAATATTTGGATGATGAAAGAAATTGATTGGTGGAAATTCCACATCAAATTGAATAATTAAATCACCTGTATGATGAGTTTCCATACTTATCATACCTTGATTTGGTATTTTTTTCATTGAATCTATTTAAAAGTATAAAATCATTTTTTTTTTATTTTTTGTTTCGTTTGATTCGAAACATTGAGAAAAAGAAACAAACTTGGAACCATTGGATGATCTGGTGGATGTTGAATAAGTACATGTCGTCCATCAAGATGTTGAATTGTTCGTTGAAAACCCGTTAATGATTCATTTAAATTTATTTTCATTTTAATTAAAAGATCATTTTCATTAATACGTTCAAATATTGGATGTTTCTCTTGTTCAATTAAAATAAAAACATCACCAGGTTCAATACCAGGCTAAAATAAAAATATTTATAAAACAATTTCAAAATGATCAATTAAATTCTTACTAATTGATCATTTTCTCCACGAAATTTAATTTTTTTTCCATTTGAATATCCTGGTAAAATAACAACATCAAGACATTTTTTTTCTTCTACTATTTGATTTCCATGACATAAATGACATTTATCTTTATGTGCAATAATTTGGCCTATTAGAAAAAAAAATAATCATGAATAAATTTTGAAGTTTTTTTTTTCTTAAAAAAAAAAAGTTTACCTTCACCGTCACATTCACGACATTGAATTGGTTGTTGAAATGTTAATGGTCCCATACGAGATATTCCCATACGCACACCTAATTAAACGAACATTTTCAATTATACAAATAAACAAAATCATATATTAATTTACCTTGACCATGACAAGCACGACAATGTATTCGTTTTTTACCTTCTTTACAACCAGACCTAAATATAAAATAAACAATTTAATAAGAACTAAAGATTTTTCTATAATACCCGTGACATTGTTGACATACTATTTTACGTGTAAAAACTACAGATTTGGTTTCACCATTATATAAAATTTCTAGACTAACTCTAAAGTAAAAACACAAAGAAATATATTTTTTTTTAATTAATAATAACAATTAATTTTTTCTACATACTTTAATGGAATAACTTTTGATTCACCTTTTGGTTTGCTATTACGACGATGATATCGACTTGAACCACCAATAATCAAATCAAATAAACTAGTTACATCTATTCAATAAAATCAATTTAAAATGATGCAAATAGAAATAAAATATGAAACCATTACTTTGTGCACCCATTCCTTCCTTAAGACCTTCAAGTCCATATTGATCATAAATTTCTTTCTTATGTTCATCTTTTAAAACATCATATGCAGCTGAAATTTCTTTGAATTTTTCTGGTGGTGCATCAGGATTTCGATCTAAATTTAATTTTAAAATTAATTTATTTTTAAAATTCATTATAAAAAAAAATCTACCTGGATGATATTTCATAGCTGCAGCTTTATAAGCCTAAAATAACATTCATAAAAATATTATAATAATAATAATAAACAAACAATAATTTACTTTAGCTATTTCAGCATTTGTTGCATCAGGTGAAACTTCAAGTAAATCATATAATTGAGTATCACGTTTTATCGATTTTGGAACGGGCATAGTTTATTTGAATGATTAATGAAAATCTAAAATAATGTATAAAAAGAAAATACCTTTAAAATAAAATATGTATGACATAAGCCACCTAAGGACAATAATTAAATAGGAAAAGTAAAATAGAGAACGAGCGAAGGTAAAAATTATAGTTCGCATAAACGAAAAAAAAAAGAGACAAAAATAAATCATCTGTTTTAATGGTAAAATATGGAATTTAATTTTTTTTTGATTTTATATCATTGATATCGAATTAAATGAAAAAAATTATTTTCATTAATTAATTTTTAAGAATTTTTATACCATATGATGAGTGACATAACAGAGAGGCTCAAAAGAAAGATATATGGTAACAATCTGAGTAGTGTCTATCATGGTCTGTATGGAGAAGCGATACAAATTTTTATCTCTATACTTCAATATTCTATTTAGATCGTGTTTTATAAAAATAATTCAGTATCAAAAATCATTTCAAATGTTTCTAAATAGCTTATGTTGTTATGGATTTTTGTGGATTTCACTAGTATTTTAAATCTTAATAAGTTTCTATGAAATGAAAACAACATATTCGAAATTCAGTTGAGACTCTCGACAAATGTTTGTGAAATAGGGTTGGAAAGGATTAAAAATATATGGCCAGAAAGAACGAAAATTGTCATATATGCATATGACAATGGTTATTTATTTTCCAGGGTACATAAAGGTATATTAGAATACATGATCCTATAAAATGATGTTTGCTCTGTCGATTGATATATGATAGTATTGACTGTGAGCAAACATTCGTGATCAAAACATTCATAAAAATGTTCTTAAAATCATGACTTTTCATAGACTGTCATGTTGACTGAAAACAAACACGTCGTCAAATCATTAGACGACTTTGTTCAAAAATTAATAAAGTATTCTATTTCTGTGCAAATTTTTATACTCTTTCAAACTGGATAATGCATTTTAAAATTAAAATTCTGCGGCAAATCATCCATACGACTTTGTTTCAAGATCTTGCGTGGAAGCTCCCTTTAACCAGGCAGAGAGAATCAAGCTCAATTTTTTGGAATAAAGAAACAAAATCAGATTTTCATTTATCAAATGATTCATGCGTCAAAAATGATCTTCGTAACAGAAATTTTTCTATATCCTCAACTAGGAACAAAATTAATGAATTTTACATGAGAAAAGAAACATATTTTCACTTGCATGTGAAACACGGAAAAACTTGTTTTCAAAATCTTCTTAAAACAAAGTTATTCTTTTTTTATTTTACAGAAAAAGCCTCTTTTAAAGAATATCACCTATGGCTTACAAGTGTAGGATAAACTCAAAAAAATGATCAACTAATTTCCGAACTCACCATCTCTCTATACATTTTTGTTCGTTTCAACTCGAACCTCAGTAACGTCGTCTAGTACCATGAAGGAAACAGCAGTACAGTAGAAAAATAAGTCTATGTACCTATATATATATATGCATACACTGATATACTGTATGTAAAATAATTAAAACAAATCTCTACACGCTGATGTGCATTAGAACCGAGAAAATATTAATTTTTAGAAAGCAAAATCAAACTTAAAATTTTTTTTGAACGATACAAGCTTGTGTCAAGTACAACGTACAGTGGAGAAAGAAAAAAAAATTTTTTTTTGTTTTGTCGCTTCACATGCATGGTGGATGGATATATATATATGTCTTTCTTTCCTTCATGAGCTAGCTCAATGTATATAAAGCGACAAAATGAAATTGTTTTTGTTCTTTTTTCACTGTACATTTCACTTGAAAAGATAGATTCTTATCATATGCAGGAAAAATGGCTATTTTGCAACCAAGCACATCATTTTGTAGAAAATTCAATTCTCTACAAGCTTGTATCATTCAAAAAAAAACTTTAAGTTTGATTTCGCTTTGAGACAATTTTTTTTAGAACAGGGTAGAGACTTCGATCTATCGAATGGTATAAGCAGAGTCGAAAAAATGTTTTTTTCTTTGTGCAATTTGTTTCACAAGACAAATTTTACAGGACATCCGAGTAATTATTTAAATTTTGGGTCGAACCTTTTGATAACACAGTAAAAGAAAAAAATCCACCAACACACATTAAAACTTTTTATTTATGGTATTTAATGTGACTTTATTTTGTGAACTCTAGTCTAACGTAATTAGTTCATCTCCGGCTACAGGAGCGAAGCTCGCTCATAGCCTTAAAAATAAAGCTTTATAATATATTAGTTCATCTGGTTTACAAAGCTTTATTCCGATTATAAATTTTTTTTCTAAGAGAATTTTTTACAATTATTTTGCCCATTCCAAACTAACTGCAATCTGATATCAACTGTGACATATATTAAGTTGTGCTCAATTTAAATTTAAAGTTAGTGAAATCTAGTTCATTTTAACATTCTCCGACCGAAAAAAGAAAGGATTTTTTTTAAGCATATGATTTTTAAGTAGTATTTTTTATCAATGTTTATTTGTTCGTGAAATTAATATAGTTCATAGATGATATGTAGAATCTAAATATATTATGTTCTTAAGTTTTGTTAAGTTATGTTTCAAGCAAAAAGAATGAAGGATTTTGTAGCTAATGTATTCTCTGTAATAGAATAATCACTGTCTTCTCTCAGAATTTAATACTCCAAAAATATGAAATATTGATTGGCTTCTTCATAAAAATACTTTTGAAAATTCATTTCCAAAGTCGAGGAAGAAGTAGATATTGGTGCAGATATTACAGTTGGAATTAGTCAAAATGAGTACTCCGTCTAGTTTAAAAAAATCAGTTCGTGATGTTTTATTACTTTCAACGAAAATTACAATTTATTTAAAAAACAAAAGAAAATTATTTTGTAGTTTCATGCTGAATTAGAATTAGAGACGAATTCTGTCTAGGTCTAATTTTGTTTAAAGTTCAATTTTGCCTGGAACATTTATATGTTATGCCGAAGTTACAACTTCGATAAAAAGCGTAACTTCGGCAGGACACATATATAGATATATATCTTTACATATAATTACATATTTATAGCAATCTAGAATTACAAATATTACATATGCTTTAAACCTTATAATTTTTTTTTTCATTTCAGGGACCACTACAATCTGTTCAGCCACTAGGTCCTCCACCGCAACGCTTTCAATCACAAGGTGCTGCACCACAAGGTTCTCCACCATTACGTCCTTCACCACGGCGTGCTCTACGACAACGTTTGTCGCGAGGTCCTCAAGCACCAAGTCGCCGTTTTATTTCTAGTATACATATTCTTGTACAGATGCTGCTTGTTACTATTTTTTTCTTACAGAAATATGAATTTATGTAGTAGCCAACGGATTAACTGGCATTGTGTTTGTTGCACTTTTGGTTTTTCTACATATCTACGATCGTTAAATTGATATTAAATAGAATGGTTGTTCAGGAGCCGGATAGTTGCTAGTCGGACAATGGCTCACTAGGACACTTGCTTGTTCAAGTATGAGTGTGAAATGTGGAGTATCGGTCTGGACATGTGATGTGGGTGTCAATCTCAGTTACAGTGTGGATGCTGGTCTGCTCTTCATTCAGATGCACACGCACACTCTACATCGACAATCCACATGAACACCCGACACCTATACCCACAGCCGTAAGCAATTGTCCTAGATCTGGTAATGAAAGACTGTAAAAATAGAAAAGCTTAATTCCTGTTTTGAATATTTGTTCTTTTGTTTTGAAAACAAAATATTTTTTGTAATCCGCTTCATATTTAATAATTTTCAATTTTAGTCTTTTTTTAGGCTTTAATCGAATGTTTTTGATTTGTGCGTGTTGCATTTATTGAATAGTTCTACAAACCATAAATTAAAAAATTTCTCTTGTAATTATGAAAAAACCTTCTTTTTAAAATTTTTAAATGTAAGTGCTATAATGACTTTTTTTTATAATGAGAAAAGAAATTTTCATAATGACAACATAAAGATAACTTTTATTTAAACAATAAATAATACCACGTCGATGCATTTTTTCACGTTCATTTAAGACATATTTGAATATATATTTCACGAAAAAGAAAAACAACAAAAAAAGAATATTAAGATGATGAGATAGGCACAATTCCTTCTGTTGTTATTCTCGATTCATTTTTACGACAGCTTGGTTGAATTGATTTCGGTACACTGCTTATTACAGGAGTAACTTGTTCACCACTTGATGCTTCCATCTTTAACTAAATATAAAATACGAACAAAAACATTCAATTGAAACAAAAAAACAATCATTTTCATACTTTTAAAGGATCTGTTTCATCATTTGAATCCCCAGTGGCACACCACATATAACAAAAGGTCGGCATTAAAAGTGATAAAGTAAATAAAATGCCTCCAACTACAACGAAACATATGCCAGCTAAACGACAAGTTTCCAAATTAGCATTATAAGCAAGTGCTTGTCGATCAACAATCATAATTTGAGAATTAGAAGATAATGACTCATCAACATTTATTTTTTTTCGTGGAAGAATAAAACCGATTAAAAGTAGAAAGAAACCGCATATAACTAAAAATGTACCAAACCAAAGTGTTATTTTCCACCAACGACTGGAAAATCTTGGACGACTTGATGGAATTAAGTATCTAAATAGAATTCAAAAGTCAGTTTAGAAAATAACTGATTTGAATTCAATAATATTTTTATAAAATTTCTCATTGAATATAAAATTTAAATTAGATTAATAACCTATATTTAAATAAAACTTACTTATGTTGATTATCTCCTTGTTGTTCATGATCACCTTGTCGATCATAAAATTTATCAAGATACGATCGAACACCAAAATATCGCATACAGTCAGCTCCAACTTCCATATTTATTCTATTTTTAGTAAAGATTATTAATTTATTAATATACGCAATAATATTCAATTGAAATATTTTAAAGAAAGATATTTGATCTGCTATTCTTTTACTGACAATGGAAACTAACTGAAGTTTATTAGAAGATTCTTTATTATTGCTCGTCGGTTAGGCGTACTGATTATTATTTATTCTATCACGATATGCTACACCCATGGGTCGTGCCTTTCTAGTAGTCCCGTTCAAGCTTTCTAGACAACGAAGAAAACTAGAGGAAACAATATGGTTTTTTTTTCTTACTTCGCAAAAGACTCTCGAAAGAAAAAAAAAGAAAAATATCGTCGTTTTTTTTTTCTCCGCTCTCTTTAGTTTTTCTTCGCCCACATTCTTTATATATCTTTCTGCTATATTAATGCTTTCGTGCGTGTGCGTTCAATGTTTCCTCTGCACTTTCTTTTCTATAGTTCTTATTTTTCTCGTTACTTTTTGTGTTAGATGGAACGCAAAAAAAAAGCTAATATTCCGCCCACATTTATCTATACACCCACCTATTTGGCATCAATAAGATTCTTGCTTGTGTGACAGTATAGAGACGCAGATAAGGAGACATACTTAAATCTGTGGTTCATATCAATTATTTTTAGGAATGAAGTGAAATAGAATACACACACATTTTGTTCGATTTTTTTGTTTTTTACATTTCTTTTATGATCAACTCTAATTAATTAAACTGAAACGTAACTTTTGTCAAGATTTAAGTTTTGAAAATGCATATTGTACAATAATAATTGATCTGTTTAATAGAAAACCTTATCAATTAATTAGATGAAAATTTAAGTCTAATTACAAATATATCAATAACGTCAAATTTAAGAAGTGAATCATTTTTTTATATAAATTTTTTAAAATAAGAATTACCAGTATTATTTCAATATGAAATTTGTCACTAATAATTAATTGTTGATTTCATAGAGTGTTCATTTTTTAAACATAATATATGAACTAAAAATAGAAAATTTTTTTTTATAAGCGTAATAAAAATAATAATGTATTCATTATGTTTAATAGAATATCTATATATTGTCGTGTTCATTGGTAAACTTTCCAAAAATAAATTGAATGCTGAACAATGAATATAATGTATCAAATAAAGAAAAATTTGAACATAACACTTTAATAATGAATAGAAATTGTAAATATTAATTTTTAATTATATATGAAATTTTCCGAATAATACATATTGACACTATTTTGATGACATTGCAAAATACGTTTTCAATCATATTACATTTTATTATTGGTAAATTCTCAAGAGATAAACTATAATGATACTACTAACAAGAAAATGCGTGCGAATCGTATTTTGAATAGATACTTTCTTGGATGGTCAACTGCAAAAGATACAAGACTCTCAGAAGATTTTTTCGTCTGTAGAACTTTGTAGAGCTCGTGACACTGATCATTTTGGTGGAAAAAATATTCATATTCAATCAATAAATCATGATCCGATGGTCAAAATACTCGAAAACATCAATTATTGCTTAGTAACAGTCAGAAATAGCCGACATTTTAGAGTATTTTGTTCCTAGCGCGATGATTTATTGAGTAAATATCAATATTTTTTTTTACCCAAATGATTAATGCATCGAGTTCTACAAAGTTCTACAGACGAAAAAAAATCATCTGAGAGTCTTGCGTTTTTTGCAGTTTACTATCGATGGACGTATGCCTCAAAAATACGACTCGCACGCATTTTGTAGTTGATAGATAGATCTGTCTTATTACTATTAGTAACAAGAGAATATGAAACATGAGACAAATATCAATCAACAAACGATGATTGTAAATGATTGTTCTTTTTTTTCAAAGATAATCTTCAATAAGATAATATGTGTTCTCAACAAATAAAGCAAATTTTAAGAATTAATATTAAAAAATTAACATTATCATTTTCATGTTGACAGTTAAATCGTCTTCAACTAAGCAAATACATATAACGGAAAATTGCTATGAAATTCACATTTTTTTTTAATGAGTAAACAATCTGAAAGATTTATTTTCACTATGTGTAAAAGTCAAGATACAATTATAAGTCATATTTTATTTAATCTTTTTAATTATTAAAATTTTGAGATGGAGATATATCAGATCAAATGATATTTTTCATCTGTCCTAACAAAGACAATAACACGAGTCTTCTTGACATGCATTATAAATAAAG